ACTTGCATGGTAAGATCCAAACAGAAATATTTGTCATCTGAATTTTAACTGAATCCTTTAGATAGCAAAATTATCATAGTAATTCTTTTTATGATGTTAAGAGTATCCAAAACAAAGTTCATCATGCCCATAAATTCAAAAGTAACTGAATTTTTGTCATATGAATATATTAGTATATAATTGTACTGTAATAAACAGTGAATATGAAGAGACCATATAAATATGATTAAGTCTTGAAATGTGAGGAAATGGAATGGGAGAGTGGTGCAAATATACAAACTACAATAATACTTCTCTACATCCATCACATGTATCTCTTTCTTTCCTCCGATACTGCCACTACCCTGGGACAGGCAGTCATATGTCATGCTTGGTCTATTGCAATAGATGGTTTCTATTGGTTTCTCTCACTTCCACAAGTTTCTCTCCACTGCAATCCATTTTTCTTTCAGGTGTCAAAATGGACAAAGCACAGGTCCAATCACGTCACCATCCCTCTACTCAATAAACTCCTTTGATCACCTCCAGTATCGAATATAAAATTCTTTCTTTGACTTTTAAAGCCCTTCATAAGCTGAACTCTTCTTCTATTTCAAATCTTCTTAATCCTTATGTACCCCTCCCCAACTCCCACATACTCTGTGATTCAGTTACACTGGCCTCCTTGCTGTTTCTCACACAATATATTCCATCTCTGGAGTCCAAGCACTTCCACTAAATGTCCCAAGTCCCTGGAATTCTATCCATCATCTTCTGGCATCTTATTCCTGTGCTTAGAAGGAAGAATTATTTTTTCTTATCTCTTCATAGCACCTGCTTCACAGAATTGTGGGGTTCCTATGAGATATTATTTGTAAATTCTTAACACACTCCCTGACAGTAAATTAATTGATTGACTAATTGCTGTTGGCTGTCCTTCCTCTCTTCTCTAAGATCTTCATTTGTTTTCCAGCCCTCAGAGTTCAACTTCCTTTTAGTGATTTTTTTTAGATTACTCTATTGCAGATATTTTGTATTTGTTGTCTTAGTACTCAGTGTTTTTCTCTGTGTGAATTAATGTACATATTGGTATGTGATATTTCTCTTAATTGTTGTTTCTTGCTGCACAATACTATTATATTACATTCATAAGGCATAATTTTGGTCATTCTTAATTTAATGGTTAATAATATATTTCCAATTTCTTTAGCACAACAAAAAGATGTGTCATGAATATGGTTTTTTTTTTTATATCTTGCTCGTTTTATCTTCTACTTCCTTGTGATGTACACCCAGTACTGAAATTGCTTAGTCAAAGGATATGGAAAGTTTAGTCACGTTGGTGGGCCTGTCTTCTCAGTTACCCTCCAAATTTTACTGTCCTCATGTTTGTTTTCTATCTTTCCAAATTTCCATGAAGCAAGTGAAACTTCAGAACTGTGTTAATTTGCATTCCTTTTGTCCTAGTGATTAAGAGCATCTTTTAATGTACTAATTTTTGCTTGCAAATCTTCCTTTGAAAACAGATTGTTTCTATCCTTTGAACAGTTTTCTACTAGGAAATGCCTTTTGGCATTTTACATGTCAATTCCCTGTATATTTTTGATAGGAATATAATAGACTTTCCTATATAATATATGCTTGATGATATTGGATGTAAATATTTTTCTTACTCTATCATTTCTCTTTTAATTCTGTTATTGATTTTATTCATGGAAACTTTTTTTTAAATTTTATGTAATGAAGAACGTCAATATTATATTGTATAATTTCCTCACTTTTGTTTGCTTAGGAATCACTCCTTTCCCCAGTCACATTTGTGAAAGGTCCCTGCTCTTATTATCTTCTAATTACTTTGATGTTAACTTTTAGGCTCAGGTTGCCTATCCGTTAATGCTTATTGACGGACATGGTTTAACATTTTATTTCCATTTTAAATTCTTCTGAACTTCTTTCTTGTTTTCCCAGAAGTTATTGCCATAAAAGGAATCCTTCCTCTCATAATTTATGTTCCTTGTTTTTATTAAACATTGAAAAACTGTTTTCTATTGGTTCTATATCTGTATTACTATTTTTATTGGTTGCATATCTTACTACTTCTTTCTAATATATTAAGAAATCTAGCAATGTTCTATCTCCTTCATTTATACTTTTTCTCATTATTTTCCTTCATATTCTGTTTCTTTAAATACTTTTTGTTATTATCTTGCCTAATTCTAAAACGTGTTTTCTTAGTCAGTCCCTCCCAATAAGAGGGCAGAGACTGTATTTTGCCTTTTTTTTTTTGTATTCCCAGCACTTAGCACAGTACCTGGCATGTTAGGCACTTAATAAATGCTTATTGATTAATTGATTGAGTAGTTTGACCTATAAATTACTTAGGGTGGTATCATCATTTTATTATATTAGCACAACCCAAACATAAACAGTGAATATCTTTTTTTGTTTGTTTGTTTATTGGCTTCTATATCTGCCAAGAGTGTTTTATAATTGTATTTATATAAATCTTGCTTTTGTGTCTCAATAGGTTAAGTCTCAGGTTTTTTATGCATTTTGTAGTTAATTCCAACCAGTATCAGAAATAACTATTATATAAAGCCCTATCATGAGATCAATGCTATGCTAAGAAATGCAAAGATTACAAAAAAAGATGAAAGCATCATCGCTGATCAAAAAGAGCCAGCAATATACATGGAAACACTAAGTATATTCACAAAGTATATTACTAGATATCTGAATGTATTATAGCAATACAGATATAGAACTAATAACAAAGTTTTCCAATGTTTAATAAAAACAAGGAACATATATTATGAGAGGAAGGATTGTGAGGATGAAAGCATCAATGCTAATCAAAAGGAGCTAGCAACATACATGGAAACACAAAGTATATTCACAAGTTAAAAATAAAACATCAGACTATTATCAAATGTCACAAAAAGGTGTTGTACACAATAAGGGTTTTTAGGTACCAGAAAGAAAAATACAAGTGAGTAATTAAATTGTTAGAGTTTACTTCTTGGCAGGTATAGAACTTAAGATACAATTTGGAAATGAGATTCTTCTTGAACAGAGTATTTCAGGATTGGAGGGGAAAGGAAATGCAAAAAAGCAGAGATAGAAATGTCTACTTTTTTTGTGAGGCAATGGGGTGAAGTGACTTGCCTAGGGTCACACAGCTAGTAAGTGTCAAATGTCTGAGGTCAAATTTGAACTCAGGTCTTCCTGAATCCAGGGCTGGTGCTCTATTCGCTGCCCTAGCTAGCTGCCCCAGAAATGTCCATTTTAAAAAGCATGGTATTGATGGCATAGGTTTTTAAAATTTTCTATGCCTGTAAATGTTCTTCTGGAAATAATAAGGTTTTCAGGACTACATCACATATTATCACCTGAATAAAAGAAAGAGAAAGTAGTCATGAGAAAGTGTGTTTCCAGAACTACGCTATAGCATATACCAGCTTCTGATAAGGCAAATGCCACAAATGATCCTGAGTTCGAGTCCTTCATCTTCACCGACTCTATTTTTGTTGTTGTTTTTTGACATCTGAAACTGGATGTTCCATGGATATCCCGAATGGAAGAGTACCAAAACAAAACTCATTATCATTTCCTTCAAAACTTTCCTTCTTTCTTAACTTTTTTTTTTATTACTGTCCAATATACAACCATCTACCTGCCCAGTTACCCAGGCCCATAACCTCAATTTTTCACTTTCATTCATTCCACAAGTCTAATCTATTATCAAATCTGCTCATTTCTACTTTCACAACAGCTATCCTATAAGTTCCCTTCCCTCTACTCAAATTTCCACCACCCTCATGCAGACACTAATCACCTTTTTCCTTGACAATTGCAATAGCTTTTTATTTAGTCTCCTTGACTCAAATATCTTCTCATACCTTTTGAGTAGCCACATAGCTACCAATATTTTTTTTACTGAACCGTCATTCTGAGTGTGTCACTTTTTTACTTGTTGAAATCTGATGGCTCCTTATTATCTCTTACATCAAATATGAACTCTCCTGTCATTAAAACATATTTACAACCTGAACCCTTCCTACCTTTCTAGTCTTCTTATACTTTACTCTCTTCTACAGACTATGACACAACCACACTGACCATTCCTTACTTACTGACTATACCACTTAGCATTCCTGAAACATGGTACTCTCTTCTCTATTTCTGTACTTTTGTGCTGATTGACCCCCAGGCTTGGAATTCTCTCTATCCTTACCTTTACATTCTAGGTTTTCTAACTTCCTTCAAGGCTCAACTCTAATCCAATTTTCTATTGGATGCCTTTTGGAATCTCCAGACTGTCTACTGTTTTCTACTCAGTGATTGTCTTCTATTCATTCTGTAAATGCCTTGTATCTACCTAGTTATTTACATGTTATATCCCCATTAGAATGTGAGCTTACAGACAATGTTTTTGCATCTCAAAAGTTATCATAGACTCTAGCATGTAGATAATTACTTAATAACTGATTGTTGATTGACTAATAGAGCCTTAATAACATTAGAGTTGTATTCACATTTCTCCTGGCTAAGTCTGGGATCAGGAGAAAGAGGAATGAGGATTACCTCAAACTTCAGTGCTCTATACTAGGAATTAGTTGTTTTAGAAAGTGGCCAGTCCTCTTCTGATTAAGAAGTATTGTTTATAATTGAGTGGGTTTGTTAAAGACTAGCTTGACAAAATGGCCTTACCTCCATTGTTTTGTAACTATGGATACATATACCATATAAACATCGGCCACTCACTACTTGGGGCATAATCACTAGACTACTACACTAGAGACACATTAGAATGATGTGTATCTATATGGCAATATAATGGTCCAGGTCAAATAAAGCAAGTGGGTTCACCAATATCATTGCCAAGTAAATATAAGCTATTGGGCTAATACTGGACAGCTGGACAGGTGGGCCCTGACCACTATTTTTCTGTGTAGTATGGCCTTCTGATTATTGACCCTGAGTAGAGAGAATATATTCTCTCTCATCTTGGAACCACTTACCTGAATTGCTGTTAATTGTTAGCATTACTGATTAATTTTACATTCCTGGGAAGAGGTAGAACTATCTTGACATGGACACCCTTTCAATGGTGGGCATCTGGACAAGGGTCTTTGGAATCTCAAATGATTTCTGGACCTTCAATGAAGAAAGAAATTCTATAGATGAACTTCTGGAAATAAAATACTTTCTTACATCACTAGTGAACAATGTAGGTTGTTACATTGTCATTTTCCTGGCAGAGAATATAATATTGATATGATAAGGGTCAAGTTAGAAAAACAATTGCTGGTAAAAATAGTGAAGAAGATAAATTTGTAGACAAGGAGTGCTGTTGATTCATAATCTTAAGGGATCCTGAGTATTACAGGCAGTGCTTAGAAGCTAGACAAGTAAGTGAATATGATAATCAAAAACTAAGAAAGAGATTTACTAAAAAGTAATGAAGGATCACTTCAGGCAAAACAAAAAAAAACTTCATATATTTGCTGATGCATATGATAAGTAGGAATATAAGTAGGTTACTATAAAATTAGTCTCTATTTTCCTCAGATTTTTATGTAACTCATTTAGATATAGCATGGGGTATTGGGATAAATTATTATTTGGTTACATGTGTGGGGAACCTCAATCAGCATCTATTTCTACAATCTACTTCCTGGTCTACAAGAAACTCAGAAAGAAAATCTTGGTTCAAAAATTTCTCTCTCACCCCTTGAGGTTCTCGATGGGATGGGAATGGGAGGAGAATCTACCAATACAATGGGAATTACAATGGGGCAAATAGAAAGAAACTCACCTTGCAGAAAACTTCCTCCAGGTGACAGCACCAGGCATATTGTTGGAAGCAGTAAATGAGTTCATTTATAAAGACAGAACCCATTATGTCAACTCTCCAAGAAACATTATCTGAAAATAAAAAAGTTAATAAAGTTCATGACCATGAAAACACTTTAGGAGAAGACTGGGAGATTAAAATTTAGCATTGTTTCAGTCTGGATCAGTTGGGCAAGGAAAAAAAATCAATTAAATACGTGATTCAATAAAAAAAAATTATTAAGGAAATACTATTCCTCAAGCATGTGAAAATAGCCATATTCTTGAGTAATATTAGTACAATACGATGTGACATTACCCTTAGAGAAAGGTAACCAAAAGAACCAAGGACAATCATCACAATGACTTTTAAAGATGAAACTGTAAGGAAGGCATCAAACAAATAAGAAATGGAAAAAGACCTGGAAACATTTTTAAATAATATTCTCATTTCAACAACAAATACAGAGGAATCACCACCTAAGCTCTAATATCATATAGTTCTGGATGTTATGAAGGAGGTAGAAATATCACTGAAAAGAACCAAGTTGGGAAAGCAGTGAAAATACAAAAAAAGGTACAGATAAGAGATCTATGCTAAAAAGGATTCCATTTTTAGGTCTTTGAGAGATTAATTCTTGAGGTATCTTCAGGGAGGAAAGATAATAAAGCTATGGGAATCACCTCAGACCATAAAATGACCATAAAATATTACCAAGAGAACATTAATGACTACTAACTCACATGCCTACTTTCATATAAAAATGTGGACATGCATATTCATATATGTAATGTATATGCATATGTAAACATTTTATATAACATTTTAATGAGAATAATGTGCAAAACAGAATGACATCCCTGATTAAGTTATTGGAAGTAGACAGGCAACACAGGATATTCCATAGCAGATCACATTCTTGTCATCACACATGAGTTAAAATATTGAGAGTACAAGAACTCATTTTCCTTATTGTCTTTTGACTATTAAAATTTGATTCTATCATGTAAAATGTTGCTTTAAAGAATCCTCTCCCACAAGTTGTCTTCCATTTTTATGTAAAAACTATGCAAGATTCCTTGAGAGATATAACACCTGAGATAAACTTGTTTGATCCTCTTGTGATTAATATAAGACAGTCAAACTAAAAGTCCAAAGTAGGGCAAAAAGTTGCAGGAAAGACATGTATGTGTGTGGCAATAGCACCAGTAATGGGCAGCAAGAGAACTCAAGCACTACAGTTGTAAGAGATAGCAAAGAACAAGGGAGTCATAGCTAAGAAGGAGAAAGGCAGGCATAAGTCTTTCAAAGAGTGAGATTCCAAGGAGACATGCATGCATAATGACAAGCTATTCTGGTCCATTGCAGAATGCGATAATTAAAACAAATTCTTTAGCCATGGAGAGCCTCATCACCACACCCCTCACCACTCTTACTTGCCACGCTAACAAATGTATCAATACTGTAACTTGAATGGTCTAGTTTTGTGAAAGGTAGTCTAAAGTTAATGAAAAGTAAACAATGGTCATGACAGAATGTAGGTCGATGAACGAACTATTATCCAAAAAATAATGAAGACCTAAATATGACTATATTTCATGCATATATACTTAGAAAATCTAATTTTCAGGGGCAGCTAGGTGGCACAATGGATAGAGCACCAGCCCTGAAGTCAGGAGAGCCTGAGTTCAAATCTGGCTTTAGACAAAACACTCAACACTTACTAGCTGTGTGACCCTGGGCAAGTCACTTAACCCCAACTGCAAAAAAAAAAAGAAGGAAAATCTAATTTTCATCCTGTTCCATTGACTTAAATATGCTCTCAATTTAACTTGCATGATTATAAACTATCTCCACAATGAACCATAAATGTCAAAATGTCTGAAGCCTTCATTTTACAGATATAGAAAATAAGGCCATAAATATGGATAAATTAAAAAAAATAAAAATGGAAGTTCAATGCTTTACTTGAAGTCATATAGATAAGTAAAAAGGTGGTGTTCGAACCTCGATCTTCTGATTCCAAATGTACTTTACTGCAAAAATCTTAGGATCATAGATTTAGGGGATAGAAGACACTTTAGAAGTCATCTAGCTTATCCTCTTAATTTTTAAGATGAGGAAATTGGGGTCAAATACATTAAATGATTTGCCCAAAATTACACAGGAGATGAGATATACTTATCATTTGAACCAAGATCAACAAATCCAATACTCTTTCCACTTTACCTCCTACCATTTCTATATGTCACTAGAAGGCTAATTAGGATAGGACCCTGCTCTTCTCTTTCCTTCTCTCTCTCTCTCTATATATATATCTTTGCAGGGCAGGCAATAAACAAATATTATTTACTATCTGACTGACCCATTGATTAATAAGGTGGCAAAAGTCTGTCTTGAGATCACCTCCCACTCAACATCAGTACATTCACCATCATGATCTAAGAGAAATAGATACTAAGGATAATAGATACAAAGAATTTCCCCCTTTCTCTTATCCAATTCCAGATGTTAGAATTGGCCAAAGAACCCTCAAGACTTAAAACAACTAATGCAGCTACACCTGGTTGGCTGGATTTAGTGCCTGCATATGATCCACGTGATTGCAGATCATTAGGTTCCATGGACCTGTGTTCTGAGAAGAGCAACAGAAGTACTAGGAATGCCTTGAGTTTGAATATTTATTTCTGGCCCATTTCTGTGGGGAATTCCCTAGAAACCACCAAAGAGATAATTCCTATAACCATTTAACCATAATGTTGCTGTTATCATTGTTCTTGTTCTTGTTTGCCCTTCATTATTGAAGAAAAATTAATGACATCATGGATGATGCCTTGACACGTACATGAATTAGATTTAAGTGAGACAGAGTTGTGCAAAGGTGTCAGTCTCACTCTTTCTTCCAGAGTCATCAAAGTCCAGTGGCAGGACAAAAATCAAGATGGCAGGCAATGACCTGGGATTCAGTGGATAACATTGGTGTCTTTGATGTCTGACCAAGCTCTACACACTCCACAGTGGCTGCTTTAGCCACCTTCAAAGACATTGGAACAAATTGTTCTCATCCACCCATTCTCCCAGGGAAAGATTTTACATATTTGGGGTAGACAACCCCATAACTCACTGAAGAGTTTGAGCCCTGTTGGTTAGCTACAACCTGGCTTAGCCCATCTACCAAGATAGTTTTACTGGGGTATGTTTACTGAACATGGTATAGCTTCTTGGAGCCATAGGTGAGAATTGTGTGACAGCTGGACACCAAAGATGTATAGCACCCCCTGAAAAGAGTTCAAAAAGCCCTCACATCAGAGGTACTAGTCCTCCCCAAAACCCTACATACCCCAAACATAAAGTTATTTTATTGCTTTCTACTTTGTGACTGTGCTCCCATTTCATAAAGTTATGTACCCAAAGACTCCAATTTATTTATTTTCAAGTCAAATAGATGTCCTACCATTATTATTAATCAAATTAAAGGAACTAAAACTGAAGTGCTCTTCAAAAAATTAACAATAAGTTACTTAAGTTGTAAACAAAAACAAGATGAAAAATATCATTTTTTTTGTATTTTTGACACATTAGGGCATCCCTAGGTCTCTCTATGTGATCTATCCTACCAATGAAAGTTTCTAAGCCACCTGAGGTAGAGATTACCTGGCAAGACAAGAAAGGAAAATGGGCAAGAGCTGTGCCTAGGAAGTAGTGAATGAGTTGAAAATTCCTTTGCTGGAAGTCACTTCTGTGGTGTTGTAGAACAAAATGAAATGAAATCTTTCTCCATGCACTTCTCTTCCAGTGAACTACCACCTGAGCAGTCTTGCAAGGGTTGTTTGGGTGTGTCTGCTGAAGTCTCTGATGCACCCATCACATATGTGATTCCAAGTTTCTCTAAGAATACAGTGATCTGTCAGTTATTCCCCTCCTCCCAACAGTGTTATCACAGTTACTATCCAGAGTTGTTCGTGCACTGACACACATACGTATAAAGTCTGTTCTGCTTTGTCCATGCTTCCTAGTATTAATCAAGTAGAAATCAATTCAGAGCTTTGTAATCCTAAACTAAAAGAAATCTGCTGTTATAGAATAAATAAAGTGCTGAATTCAATTTGGTATGTACCTATATGGTACAACTTATGTCTATTAGTACAGACTAATTCACATAATGCTAGTCCACTCTGTGACGCTGTTGTGGGATGGTATGTAGTGTGTAGATGGTATGTGGTTTGTTGTAGTTTCTCTAGGGAACAGAGAGAGGAGCATAGCAAGGTAGCTGGCGTATTTCCTCTGGGAAAGTGTGGACTATAACTTC